AATCGATATATCATTCGAGTTTAAATGAGTTTTGTCTCCGATTCGTTTTACATTCGCCAGTACGATCAACAAAACACAAGGTTAATCCTTGAGTGTTTGTGGCCTTAATGGCTTTAGGATTTATTCCCCCAGCCTAAAATCAACCGGACAAAATCCCCGCAACAATAATCCAACCGAATAAAATCATCCGTTAAATACCCAGCAATTGGAGCTCCTGCAATGGGCTCTTCCTAAAACCGGTATTAAAAAGTTAACAAAAATATATATTATTTATCTCCAACAACTACTACAAAGATTTCCCGCGCAAAAAACCCCCCATAGGTAATACCTGCAAAGTAGTTATTAAACAAAAACAAGATATCAAATTAGCTCCAACAACTACGCACAAAACTGTATATAAACCTACATTTATTGGGGATCTCACTTGCTCTTCACTCGGCCTTTGCAGAACATGTTTCAACCAGTTTTTTTCTAATATTTTAGGCGGTTTGTTGAAACTTTGATTTTTCCAATACGGCTCTACATGCTCGAGATTTTCCCAATCAAATCTTGTTAACCCTATCAAGTGTGAATGACAAACTCAGTTAAAAATTATAGTTTCGATAACGTCATTAACGCGGTAAGGGCTTTTATTTCCTTACAACAAAAATTGCCGTTTCCCAAAACCTGCTCTCGTTTTCTTAAGTAAAAATTTAAATTGCTAGCAGTATTTCTTCCTAAAAATAAATTTCCGCCACACCAGACACGCTTCACTTGCTGCACGATTGCATTTGTAAATGGTCCCTCTTTAACTGTGAAGTGAATTATTGCACTTGCATAAGCAATAAAGTTCAAATGAATTATATTGAATATGAAATTATTTCCTACAACAACAACAACCAAAAATCCCCCGCATTAACAATAGAAATTTTGCATTGTTTAGTGTATCATAGCGATGTTGTAAGATTTTGTGAGAATCGGTTTCAAATGCGGCAGTTATTATTTAATTCCTAGTGAAATATACCAGCAACCAAAAAAAAACAGAAAAAAAACAAGCTACAACAATAGCAGCAGCAGCAGCAGCAAAAGTGGCAACAACACCGAATGCCACAGCAGCAGGCCAATGACATGACAAGAGAAGTATGAAGACAAAAACCAAAAAAAAAACGAAACGGAAAACTTAAGCGGCAAACTGCATGAATAAGCAAACGGCGTGCGAGTAAAATCACAGCCTCACTGTATGGTAATGTAGGTAGCACGTAAGCGTCTATGTATGTATGTACTAGATGGCACCAAAGAGTTAAAAATCAAGCGCAATTGAGACTGTAGAGGAAATAAATGCTGAAAAGCTTAGACAGCCACATATGTAGCTGCAACAAAGCCAATTGAATAATGAAGGGCGGAGTTACATATGAATTTTTCACTGTACATTACATGGATGGCGCTTTAAAATATTATAATGAGATACATATACATGTATGCATATGAGATTGTTAGTCAGCTATGTATGCCGGTAGTTGCATGCAGCGCGCTTTAAGGCCTACAGCAACTTGAAACTGAACATTATTGCTAGTCAAAATAAAGATGGTACGTCTCGCCCAGTATACACACAGATAAACATACATATGTACACCAATTTGTATTGTTCACCTGCAGCCCAACCACAACTTCATATATAAGCACTTAACCGGTGACAACGACCTTGAGCCGCAGCCTCAACTAACTACTTGGCTTCTAGCTTTGCAGCCACTCAGCGGCCTTATATGTATGTATATATGTAAGTAGCAGCACTATTGCTTGTATAAATTGGTGCTATTATTGTATATGTAGCAATGTATGCGTGATTATAATTTTAGCTCATTGCAGCTTTTAGATTTCTCTCAAAATACGCTGAACATGTTAACTTAAGAAAACAAAAACCGACCACGAACGACAAACAATTAAAACAGTACAGCGTCATAAACAAGCCGGAAGTACAATAAAGCCATATTCGTATGTGTATTTTTTAACAATTCAAAATTTCGATTTTTTTTTTTTTTTTTTTGTTTTCAATCTCAAGTACATTGTTCACAAATTGTATACATGCTTTTACTAATTCTTAAAAATTCGTTTAATGAAAATGTATCAAAATTATCTCACAACGATCTCAAGTACATACATATGTATGTACATGTGTTACAGAAAAGGCGGAAAATATTTAGCTACAGGAGTACGAAGCATTTTAGGCAGATAGAAGAACACACAGAAACAATTGCTCATACGCGTTGTTGGCCAAACGCCATGCCAAAGAGTACGGTAAAGGCATTGCGTCTAATAAATACATACAAATTTCAGGGTTTAAAATTTGTTATTTTGTATATAATACACTCAAAATGTTTACATTTTCTAAAAGCTTTGTTTCAAAAAACTCTACAGTAAAGTCTCACTTCCTCATGTGACTTTCAATAGCTTAAAAATAAGTATATTTTTGTCTTTATTTGACCAGGGCGAAATACCGAGTTATTTCGCTTTTGAAAGGCGCTTACTATATAGCTACCTACTTAGAAAGGTATGCAACTACAGTGTTGGAAGAAATTATAGAAACTTTTTATTTTGACCAGTTTTGGCTATACATATTTCTTCTGTTTATTCGATGTTTAATATTTTTGTATAAAAGTCTAGCGCATTATATAACATGCGCCATATAAATCCACATTTCAAACCAAAATTATAAAAATTCAGCAAATTTTACCAAAATATTCCAAAAATTTCTAACTTTTTATTCAGACTTTTTAGGAAAAATTTTAGGTAAATTGCAAATTTCTTTTTTGATGCAAGAAAATATCTATATGCACCAGACCTTTTTAAAAAATATTAAACATCGTAGAAACAAGTGCAATATAGCCAAAACGGGTCAAACTAAAAAGTTTTTATTATTTCTTCCACCACCATATATATTTATATGAATAGCCACTTACATAAATAAGTCTGTATACATTTACACACAATGCTTATTGTACATATGCAAGTATGCAATGCATATGTAAAACTACCGAGACCGTAGCTACTTAAGTACAAAGACTCTCGAAAAATGCTTGAACTTAAGATTGTTTATTTATTTACACTTCCAGATGTTTAAATGTTTACCTTGTATTGGAAAAATTTAAAAGTATGTTTTAATGAGCAAATCAAAATTTCAAAAAGTTTATAAAGTTTCTTCCAAGGCGTATTCATATAAAGTGATGCTACCAGAGCTGCCGATTTTAAGGCGAATTTGTGCCGGAGAGCTTTTTGGGAGTGTTGGCGAAATGCGTACCGATGCGCTTAAACCTTTCTCAAGCGATTTCCGTGCAGCTGATAGGGACCGCCTGTGATCAACAACCGCCCAGTTTGCCTACGTAACTCATATGCCCTTCCTTTCCGAGTTAATGGACTCGAGCGAGCCCTGCCTAGCTAATTCAGCAGCCCTGCAATTACCAGTGATGCCAGTGATTCCTGGAACCCAAATCAGCTTCAATTTGAAGTATTCCGTGGTGGTAGAGGGAGAGGTCAGGCATTCCCTGAACAGTTTCGCAAAACTGCAGCAAAACATTGGTGCATAGCCGATCGCCTGGCTTATTTATAGCGGTCACCTCTTCCTGAAAGAAGCTGCATTGATCGGACAGGAATACTGTTCCTAACAGTAGAAACCTCTTTAAACTCTCCCGTCCAGCTTTGCTTTGTCCGTGAGGATTTTTATTGGACCTCTACTTCAGATATTGTCATTCTCTTATTCGCCCCTTGGAGGCATGAGCGTGGAGAAGGATCCGTTTGAAGCCAGCCTCGGAACACTCCGCTTTATTTGATTCGATAGGAAGGCGAAAATTTTGAGACTTGTCGAGTGCTCGCACGCTGGGTTGAAAGAGAACCCAGAGCTTTCATGTAAGAATTAAAATAGTTTTGACCTGGAAATCTGGATATATGTAGATATATGCTTATCATTCTCAAGAAAGTGCATCGAAATTACGCCAAATGCGCTAATTTTATAGTAGTAAGTTAGTATTAGGCACAGCTATCAATCAACTCATATTCATTTTCATAAACATACTCATATTCTTATTCTTAAACACATTCGTAATCTTTTTATTCATTCTCTTATTATATCCATATTTGTTTTCATATTAATTCATACTCATAGTCGTCTTTATTCTTACATCCGTATTCACTCTTTTATATTCATGTTCACTTTCCTACATCATATTCATACGCATACTCATATTCATATTTCTATTCATTTTTATATTCAAACTCTCATTCATATCCATACCCATTTCATATATAACATTTTTTCCCAACCATGCCAAACATTTTTCATATCATTTCTGGAGAGCTGCATATTAATTTAAGATATTTTGGTAGAAGAAAATTTCTTATTTATTTCTTCAGCGTTTCCTTATATGATTTTTTCTTTGTTTTTCTTGACGGCTGTTAATCTCTAGAAAAATGAAAACACTCAAAAGAAATGAGAAATTTTCTTCTACTGAAATTTCTTAAATTAGTTTGCAGTTTTCAAGAAATAAATGTTCGCAATGGTTCGCATATGGGTCGTTCCACATCAAAACGCATGCGGCTCTGCCCGAAAATGGTGGAAAGCTATCATTATTTTTAAGATGTGAAAAGTTATGTATTTTTATGTAGAATCGAAGATTATGTGGCGCTTATAAAAAAAAACAACAATTCGGTACTAAATAAGTCACCACTTTCCGATCAGTCTCCCGAAAATTTTCCTATGAATTGTTTATGAAAATTCAGATAAGCGACAAAAATCGTAAATACATAAGTATATGAAAATACTTCTTTTCCGCTCCTCATTTATATCGCCTAAGTTATATATAATAGTACTAGCATATCATACATACAATTGTATATGTTTTAAATTCATGCTGCTTGTCTAATTTCCTCTATAATGAAAACGAAATTTAACATTGCAAACACAATTGAAATTGAAAGTAAATAATATACCACTGGTTTATTTGCAATAACTCTTAGCGTGTGAAGCTTACCTTTGCTGTATGTATTTCCTCAAGGTGTAAATTAGTTGTGTTGATTCGCTGATTTTTGTATTTATTTTTGTTTATGTTGCTTTGAACTTATTGCTCTTTAGTTTTGAGTTGTGTTTTTTTTTTTGTTCTTGGTTTTTTACTTCTTATATTTTTAATTTATTTAATTTTTTATTTTTAGCGCAAATACTTTAAAGGGCTGCTGCAAATACTGTTCTTGGCACTTGTGAAAATACACCACTACGATTTTTTTCAGGCTGTTACTCATACGCCGGGGTGGACGAGTTCTAAAACATTATTATGTGTTACTTAGCTGCGTAAGAGAGAAGGTACATGTATACATTTAGTGCTTGAGAATTTGACTATTTTAAGGCAAGCATTTTTGGTTTTCATGCTAACATTTATCTTAAAACTCCCGCATTAAAAAAAATATTAATAGTCACAAATATTTTATTTTTGTTTCCCTTATTTTGAGTTTTCCCATTAAGTACCATTGAATTTTTATCAAATATTTTCTAAGCAAAGAAAAAATCTATTCGAAACCACAATAATTCTTGCATCATTCACAATCGCGCTTTCAGCCAATTCTTTCATTGTGCGTGCGTAAGTTGTTTGTAACGGGTGATTTTTTAAGAGCTTGATACCTTTTTTTTTAAAAAAAACGCATAAAATTTGCAAAATCTCATCGGTTCTTTATTTGAAACGTTAGATTGGTCCANCGAACCGAACACTGATTTTGGTAATAAAATTCAATGATTTGCAAGCGTTGCTCGTTAGTAAGTCTATTCATGATGAAATGTCAAAGCATACTGAGCATCTTTCTCTTTGACACCATGTCTGAAATCCCACGTGATCTGTCAAATACTAATGCATGAAAATCCTAACCTCAAAAAAATCACCCGTTATACGTGTAACAGTTATATTTTACCGAAGTTTTAACAATTATTGTTCATACATAGTGTGCATGTATGTAGGTATACGTATCTATATTTTCTTAAAACCACTCAAGCACACAGCTGTTTTACTGGAATCCACTGACAAGTTTTCTTTCGCAAATGCATGCGAATGTATATGTATGTATGAGCGTGTGTGTATGTTTTGTGGCTTTGTGCTACCCGTTGCGCTTGCTACCCTGCAGGAAGTGATGTTAGCTTAAATCTAACTTTAATCTGTTTACGCGAACACTAGTGCTGACTATTAACTGGACATTTTGTTGTTATGGGGCGATGGCAAAAAAAAGTCACTGCTGGATACCCTTGCATTAGGTACCAACTAACTTGTAACTAACTACTTTTTGATCTAAAATATCAGTGGGAATTAGGGTATTTATCAAAACGCGTAAATGCTTCGTAACGGCGAAAACCTCGTAAACTAGGTGTATATGATTATGTGGTTTTCACGCGTTTATATGACTTTCCCTAATGTGATTTGACATTATTTTTTTACGTATTGTGCTTAAGGGGGTCCCATATTCGAATTCCACCAGACATAAGATCCAAATGATAGCATAAGATTTCGATCTTCTTTAATAATACTAAATTCCAAAAATCTTCTAGGAAGTGCAGAAAAATGTGTATTCAAGTAACTAATATTTGTATGAAGATATTTATATAGAAACTTGTTTAAAGAAAACAAACTTCCGATTACGCTTGCATGACTCCTGCATGACTTCACAATTCATTTTGAATAGGTTTTGTCATAGCTAATTAGAAGTGAGTTATGTATTTATCGAAATCCCGCAAAAAAGCTAACTACAAATTGATTATTTTTATCAATTGATAATTTTTCACTGCAGGGTAGTTAGTTACTCACATTTCTTTGTATGTGTGTTGCAAGTTTTTTTTTATTATCATTTTGTTTTTATAATGTCGCTGTGCGATTGCTGCGGCTGCTGCTGCTGCAGCATGCAGCCACAATTAATTTCACTTTTTTTCCTTGAAAGCAAAACAACAATTTGCGCGTGCTGTTTATTGTTGTAATTTGTTGGAGTTGCTGTTTGCCGTTTTTCTATTTTTGCTGTTACCCACTTTGGTGTTTAAGTTTATAATTATTTTTGTTTATTTGTATTTGTATTTGTTGTTGTTGTTGTCTTTATTGTTGTTCTTCGTAACTTGCTCGCATTTGCTTGCATTGTTGTAATTATGTGCTGGTTTTATAATTTTTTTTTCACTAGCTGCGTTGGTTAACTCGTTTGTTTCTTGCGGTTATTGAAAACTTGTTTGTTGTAGTTTTTACCACCAGCTAGTTGCTTGACTTAAAATTTCGTATATCATTTTCGTTTATTTTGCGTATTATTTTGTTAACATACCGTGGCGGTCAAAAGTGGTTGAATGGTGTTTCGTTTTTAATATTTACAATGCTTTTGAAGCTAAATTTTTTTTCGATATCTTTTTATAAAAATATGGTTTATGCCTTAACAAAATCAGAAGAAGAACAGAATTTAGAAGAATTCCAAAAATTTTTATATATATTTCGAGCTTTTTAAGCAGAATTTTTATAAATTTTTTGGGCATGCAGTTAACAGGCTTATAAAATTTTAGTGAAATAAGTGCAAGTTTTGAGCGACTAAAAAATCGTTTTGAGTTTTAATAGTTCTTTTTGTTGACGGAGTTCGGCACTTTTATTTAAAATGGCAATTTCAACACCCTTTCGTCCTTGTGAACAAAATTTTTTTTTTTAATTCTACAGAGTTTTCTCTTTCGTTTGTTACCGTTATTATTATTCGACTTTGTACTGAATTTTTGAAAAAAATTTATTTATGAATTATTCATCTCTTAGAAATTTTAAAGTGCCTTAAAAAATATCAGAGATAAAAACTAAAAATGCAGTTTTACTTTATTTTGCCCATATTATATTGCGTGCATTGATTGCTTCGTGTTTCAATTTTGTTTTTTTTTTGTGGCACTTTGTAGCAGATCCGGAGAAAAACAGGTATGATAGAAACTGAATAAATCGATCCCGTTGTTTTGTTCCCAAGTGCGCTTAAAAACCTAAACCGAAATAGGAACACGAAACTTTCGGTAGTGTTTTCACAAGAACGAAAGTGAGAACAAAACTGACGATAATCACCTCAATGAGAATATACGAAGAAAACCCTGGAGAACGTTCCCAAAGCGAACAAAAATTTCGGGAAAATTTTTAATAGAACGAAATTGTAACAAAAGTATTTGGAATGTTCTAGCAAAAAAAAAAAAAAACGGGAAAAAAGTTTTAGCAACGTTTGGATAAAGAACCAAACGGAAACAAATCTTCTCCGAACTATTCGGAAAGAGCGGAAGCGACCCCTAAGAGACCCCTAAGAGCCACTGTTTTAATAATCTTGGAAAAATTCGAATAAGTAGAAATGTTTCGAAGGAAATATTTCAAAAAAAGTGATGCTTCTTGATAGATTAAACAACGAGAATTGCGAAATTATTATCAACTAAGAATTTGGTCAACGGAATCCAAATTTCTCTTTTACTCTTTTGAGGCATCGTATTATTGTACTTATATTATTTTGAAAAAAACTAAGCATAGTGACTTTACCAATATTGGAACACTGCCAATGAACGGTACACTCGAAAAATATTCTAAAAATAACTCGTGCATTTCGGTAACAATTAAGAAAAAATTCCATTTATTTTATAATAGTTGTATTAGAAAATCACGAGAAGTTGAAATGATTCAACTCTCCTTTGGTCTAGACTTAACACCTTTTCAACCCAACTAGCAGGCGAGGGTGAGAATGCGTATCAGTTTTGGTTTAGTTCTGCGCCAGAACCAAATTTTATGTGAAGGATGTTTCTGAAAATGCATCCAACATTAACATAAAGTACAAAATGAGAACAAAACTCGGAACGCACTCAAAAAAATAAAATAAATTAAAACAAGACTCTCAAGAACGTTCGCAAGAACAAGATCGTCATCAAAAAAAACAACAAATGCAAACAGAACCCTCAAGAACAATAGAATAAGAATGAAACTTTCGGAATACATTTGTCAAGGAGGAACAAACATAAACAAAAGTCTAGGGAACGTTATGTCAGACAACAAAAGTTGAACAAAAGTTTTGAGAACTTAGAGTTAAGAATGAGTGTCCTACTTAAATTTTTTTTTGTTTAAAACGTTTGGCTCGCAGCATGATTTTAGCTCTGCACATATGAAAATACTCAGAATGGACTGGATAAGTTAGTTATTTTTGAATATAATCAAGCTGTCAGTTTAAGCTATACAAAAACGGACCGAAATTCATTACAAGTGAAATAAATTAAATCTGCATAACAGAAATAATTACTATTTGATTTTTATTTTTTCGATCACAAATCGACGGCTCAGTGAAAGATCGATCTACATTTCTCGGCAGCTGGTTGGAAGACGCCCTATCTTAGAATTTATTTCAAAAATGCCCTATCGCAAATGAAAATATATAAGTATAAAAGTTCGTTCTTCAATCAAATTCTGATGTAGGGTGTCCTTGAGCCATTTTCCGAGATAGGTCGGTCTTCCGTTCAGTTTTCGAAATAATGATTATTTTATGATTTATATTTTTCCGCTCAAAGATAATAATAATTATTTGAGTTTTATTTTTGCACTTAAAAAAAATGATTTTTTATAAAATTTAAAAGGCCATATATAAGAAATCAACTGAAATTTATTTGAAAAATTTGAGACGGATCCCTTTTATTAGGGTGTCGCTACCCCTGAAAAAGATACATCGGAAGTAATGAATCATAAAATAATCATTATTTTTTACCGAAAAACTAAAACTGCAATAGAAATTAAAATTTTTAACTTTTAATTTAGTTTTATTTTTCGATTAAACTCGAAAAATAAAATTCATTTTAGATTATGGTAGGACGAACGCAATTTTTTTAGTCGGCGATTTGGTAATATTTATATCTTATATGGATAAGTTATGCTTTGCTATAAATGCGGCAATTAATTTTGACCACCTAACTTGTGCCACACGCCACACCGTGCGCCCGTTAGGTTTTTTATTAATTTTTTGCCTAAATTTTAGATGTTTTTTTGAAACTCATTATATATTTTATGATTTGACCGCTAGTTTTATGCAGTTAATGTGTCTTTTTTTTACATTTACCACTTCAATTAAACTTTTCGCTCTTATAAGTTGCACGGCAATCTTGCACGCTATTCATTTAAAAATCATTTCACTTTTCTTACGCTTTAGTTGTTGTTGCACTATACACTTTGTTGTTGTCATCTTTTTTTTTTTGATGATTGTTGTTGCTTTTGTTTTTGGCATCAATGACACTAAACACATGCAACTTTCACAGCAGCAGCAGCACACAAACTCAACCGGAATGGTCACTCTAAAATGAATTGGAAGTTACCGAATTGCTTAGAGCAGCAACGAAAAAGAAAAAAATTGGAAAACTGCGAATAAAACTCAAATTTTTGCAAGAAAGCGCAAAGCTTTTTTTTTTATAATTTTTATATGCCTAATTTTTGTCGAATTTGATCTTTCGTTTTTTTTCGGAAGACTTTTATTTTCCTCCTATTTATTAATGAAGTTGTTTCACAATCTATTTGGAGTGTCGAAAATTTGCCAACATTTGGGGCTTGGGAAATAATTTTCCTGTCACTCAAACATTCAAACACCTGTTGTCACTTTAGCAGCAGCAGCAGCGGAACAATTTCACATCACAAATATGTACGACTAAATATACAATTTTCTTCATAGCCCATTGTCAACGCTCAATAGCAGCACGCAGCACTGTCATCAAAAATTTTCTTTGCTTCAAATGCCAGCGAATTTCGAAAATTTTCCGTATTTCATATTCAACACACAAGTGTCGTGAATGAAATATTTCCAATAGATTCAACCAAAAAAAAAAACACAAGAAGAAAAAGGCAAGCAAAATGTTTTCGAACTACACTTGTTGCACGTAAATACGTTGAAAGCATACGTACAATGTAAATATGTATATATGGCGTATGTTGTTGTTGTTGCTATTACAATGATTGCATATTGTACACGCACACCCAAAACCGCTCCACTACGTCCACTGAAGCGATGCCGAATTGTGTTGAAGAAGCAACTAACTAACTCACTAACTAAGCAAGCGAGCGACTAATAATAAGTTAGAAACTCGAACGGTAACGGTAACGGCAGCCGAAAACCACACTCAGCAAACGCACTCGACGACTTTCGCGACTCAACTGTTGGCCAGGCGCTGCAGCAAGTGGCCGCTCACCGTCACCACCAGTCACCAGCCAGCAGCCAGCAGTCACCGCTTTTCACACCGTCGCCGTCGCCGTCGCCTTCGCCTTAGCCGCTGCTACCAGCAAGTCAAACCAGCCGCCAAGCATAGCCGAAAAAACCGTCAACAAGCAACAACAAATAACAACAACAACCGAACACAGCTAATGAGCAGCAATGGTAGGCAAAAATACAAACAACAACAACAACACCACCACCAACACCAGCATTCAGCTATAAAGCACAAACGCATACTGTGCTACAAAGCTTGTATTACTGTTACCGTTGGCAAATTGCTAGTACCCAGTTAAGTATGCCTGCGTGTGTTTTTTTAGCTCGCATACTAGGCCACGTTCGTTGCTTAAGTCATTCGTTTTCTGGCTATCGGCCATTGTGAGCTTTTGGCTTTTTCAGCTGCAATGCCCTCATCGCTTACTTGCTTTGCCTTCATTCCACGCTTTAGCATTGCTAGCGTTGTTGTTGCCATTTCGCATAGCATTTATTTTTCAGCTTCTTCAGCTATTTAGCTAGCGAAACAGCTGTGCAGCTTGTGAGCTTGGCAAGTCTTTTTGTTGTACATGTACATATAACTACATACATACATACATACATACATACATATTGCTTTTTACGCCTTTGTCCCGCTGTTTTAAGCTCTGCTGATTACATATACTGCTGCCGTTGCTGGTGCTACGCTTCGCTTCGTTTGTGGATTGTTGCCGAGCTGGTAACTGGATATCATTGCTTACTCTCATTTTAGTTTACCCTTTGCTTTGCCAGGTGCTTTGGTTTCGCGACTGCTTTAGTTTTATTTACTTTGATTTTTTATGTGCGGTGCAAAGCTTTAATCGCAAAAAGTTAAAGAAGAATGGCATGTTACGAAGCATAAAACGCAGACAAAAGAAGTGGATTAACTTGCTTGCATGATCGAGCTTTTGCTGCAAAACTTATTGTTAGACAATACTTATTTACTCTTAAAATGTGAGCGTCTGAGCTGAGTTGTATGCAATACAGAAGTATGTGTTAATTTAAGAGTGTAAAGTTGTAACTTTAAGTTCTCTTAGGTGCTATGATTAACTGGGCGCAACTGAGGGATGGAAAATTCAAGCAATTCAAAAATTAAATCCTACTTTAATTCTGGAAATTAAAAATCAAGGTTTGCTTAGGCTGGGCTGGCTAGCCACTGCATGGCTTCACAGGAACCACTGAGATCCATAGCGTTATCAGAAAAACGACAACCAAATTAGATAGATAACACTGGTCAACAATGGTTTTGGTACCAAAGAACTGTAATTTTTTTTAAATTATACTGATTGTATAAATTGAAAAAAAAATAATTGTATTTTCTATGTATAGCTTTCTAGATTTTGACTTGTGTGTATATTAAAACACAAATTTTCAATAAAAACTACATAACTTACCTTATTATTAGGTTGATTAACTCGGTTTTTTCCCAAACCAGTTCCACCCGGATTTTTTCATAATTTTAGGTGTTGTTTTTTTAAACCTTGGTTTTGGAATGCCGAGTAAACCCGATTTTTTCAATCAAATAAACCGGGTTTTATATACGATTCTCATCTAATGGCAGGTTCACGAAAAGGCCAGCTCCGACACGTACGGGCCGTATGGAGACGGACGTTATATTAGCTGATGTGAGCAGCCCTGGATTTACACTAGGTGTCTTCGGAGCACTGGCACAGGGCGGAAGATTTTATAAATCTTTATAAATTTTACACATATTTTTAATAATTTGATTGATGATAATTCAAACTAATTCGGTTATTGACTACCAACTGTGTCTAAAACTTTGCCACAGAAAAGTATTTTATGCAAACACCACAGTTTGCAACGCCCTGCTATGCATATTCAGTGAGACTACGGAATTCATCAATATTTACTCAAAATTTATTCATTAACAAAGAATTGGTTTTTCATAAAATTTTGGAAAATTGGGCGTGGCACCGCCAACTTATATCATATATGTGTATTACCGATCTCGACCAAATTTGGTATACAAATTCCGCTTAGCCCCCTCAAGCGTCGTCTTGCAAAGTTTTCAAATAGGACAAAATTCACACCCTCCACCCACGCCACGGTAATTCCAAAAAACTCAAAGCTAGCTATATTTTAGGGGGAGTAGTTTTCGTCCGATTTCAAAACTTTTCAAGAAGATGCCTAAGGAGCCTAGGGCAATATGTATACCAAATTTAGTCAAGATCGGTGTAGTAGTTTTTGAGATACACATGTATAAGTTATAAGTGGACGGTGCCACGCCCATTTTCCAAAAATTGTATGAGAAACCAACTTTTTGCTAATGAGCCATTGTACATACATATATGTATATCAATTTTGACTAAATATTGATGAATTCCTCAGTCACACTGCTTAGAGGTCTATGAATCCCCTTTTCAAAACGTGTTTGATTTTTAAAATCAGATTAAAAATAGGCAAGGTTTTTCTTACTGAAATTAAAATGCAGGGTTCAAGAACTATAAGAAACCGATTTTCGACCCCACCTACAACCTACACTAAGTTTTGTTTCGGGTGTATTTCGTGTGATTTTTTTTTTTTTTTTTTGTTGGAGCACCATATTCAAAGATACTTTTGGGATTTTTCGGGACTATTTCGCGACAGTTTGGAAATTTATGGATACTTTGGAATTTGTTTTTATTTATGTTTGTTTTAACTTTCGGTAATTTTCAGGATATTTTCGAGATTATTTCTTGATCTCTTGGAATTTGTTTTGGGACCTTCGGAAAGTTATCGGATTTTGACTGATTTTGCGGGATTTCGCGGGATTTTTAGTGTTTTTAATTTTCGGAATTTACTTGGGAGTTTTTGGGGATGTTTTTGGAAAAAAAAATGTTTTTTTTTTGCCGAGCATAGCCGGCTGTTTACATTTTCCGTCATATCTTTGCGTTTACAGTCGGCTCTCGAGAGGACAATTTTTTTTCCAAAGTACCCCATTCTTTCATTTAGCCAACGCATATCAGTTCTTATTAATCTAAGGTACCAGCCTAATGTCAGTAAATAAAAGCTCGCTAAAAATCATTAAACTTTTGCTAGAGAAGTATTTCAATTTTGTTTTTTTTTTTTTTTGACGAACGTGGTGGTCATCTTTTTATGTTTTTCGTCAGACATATGTTCGGTATTTACAGTCGGATCTCGAAGTGATATATCGCTTTTCTTGTCTCAAGGAGGCCTTTTTTTTATTCCAATGTTCATTGACTTCACATACCCCGTTGCAGCACTTACGCACCAGATCTCAGTTTTTATTATCCTACGGTACCACTCTAATGTCAGTTAATTAAACCTCACCAATAATCAATAAATTTCTGCTAGAGAAGTATTTTAGTTACACCAGTTACATACATATCTGTCGACCAATAGAAAAAACATTTTTTTCGAAATTGCCTTGCAAAAATACAAAAAAATTAATTAAAAAAGCTGGTACGGTCTAATGTGCATACATACTATATAAATACATGTATTGCTGAAGATATTTCAACTTATCGCTGTCAGCAAAGTTCTCGAGTTGCGACGCCTGTTTTTTAACTCGAAGCCAAATAATGTAGCCTTCAAAAATTTTACCAAAAATTCAAACTGTTTAAATTACAGTTATTTGCGACGAAAAATTAAGCAAATTTAAATTATTTGACAAGCAAAAAAAAAATGTTTTGCGAATGTCAGCGCAAGCATACTGTGTTGGCAACAGCAGGAAGCAACTCACCTTTTGTCATTCTGAGCATGATAAATACTCGTTTTTGAGACTTTAGGATTTTTTTCGCCTTTTTCTTATTTGCTTTTGTTTTTTTTTTTTTTGCTACTCATTTTATTTACTTTATATTAATTTTGATTAGTCAATATCTAAATTCGATCAACAAGTTTCATTTTCGCCGATCATTTAGCCGACAATCAACCTTTTGCGTTAGACATGTGTGTGTGTTGGCTGTCTACGCGCATGCGTCAATGTCAGCCACTGTTGTTATGCTGAATAGATTGATTTCTTATTTTACGTAGTTTCAGCTTTAACATCTACGATTGATTGTATCTGTTTCATGCGTTAATGCGATTTGATTTAATGAGCAATCAGCTGATGTTTTGATGAGTTGCAATAAAGATGTCATTGAATTAAAATTGGAAAAAAGGAAGAATTTTTGTGCGCGTAAATCTTAAATATAAATAGGCAAACATGTTTTCTTTACACCCCTTATACGGCTAAACTATACTTCTACGGTATAGGGAATTATATATCACTAGAAAGGTATTTTGACGCTGATGTGCAGAGACTTACCTGAACTCTGCTTAATTTTAGCGGTTGAATTTCGACCGCTGGGCGAACACTAGTTTTAATAATCGTTCAAATATATATGAAGACACAGACTGCTTTGGCCAATACCGTTGTTTTAGCTGCTGCTTTGCAAACCAAATTGTTTAATTTTTACTCCCTGACAAATTATAAAGAAATCATTTTTTTTGTATACTAATTAAAAATTCTCGGTTCTAATTTTTTCATCCACGCCAATATTCTTAATTCGAAATATGCAAATTATTAGAAATTTCTATAAATACTTAAGTCGTTAGCCAATTAGCATGTGTACATGCTTCTCGATATTTTTGATCTCTGCCCATTTGCTCCAACGCTCATTTATTCCCACTTTTCTGCACACATTTCCTTAATAAACGCTGGCTATGTGTATTCTTAATTTTTAATTTTATTTTACCTCTGCTGCTTCGTTAGCGGAGCGGTTATGAAATTTTGCTATTAAACAGTTAGACCAAAAATTTTGAAATTTATGCGTGAAAATATTATGGGTTTAAAAGAGTTCAATGCTTTCGTTAAAATGCTGCAGTTTTTTCTTCTTCTTTAATGTTTATGGTTTCTTTTTGTGCATATTTGTCTTTCTCAGCTGGCGCCTTGTAATGAATGCTATTTTTGAACCAAAAATTTCATATTTTTTCTTTTTTTTTTTGAATGAA